AACGTCTGTTGTTGTGCCTGCCACACACATCAACGTGACGCACAATCCTGACACACCAACACCACCACAGTCAAAACCAGTGATGAGGAACTGGTCTATACCTTTCCTCATTGCGATCGCACCCTCACCTCACGCATCGGTCTGGCCGGTCATTTGCGAGTCTATCGCGCAGATACTGGTGAACCAGTGACTGGAGCACCAACCTACATTCGCCGCATCCGCCCCCACTATCCACACTGCGCTCACACATTCGTGTATCGCATGGGTCTATTCGGCCACATGAGTATCCACGAGAGCGGAATTGATCGCAGCCCCGACACACCTAACACATCCAGCACACTTACCGTGCCTAGCCCTGCCCTTACTCCGCTGCCCGACGAGCCCACTGCCACCAGCTCCATCACACCCACTCCATCCTCCACACCCACCATGCTCAGCCCTACTCACACTCCGTCGTCCAGCACGCCCACCACCACCATCGACGTAGCCGATACTGTACCGCCTACTCCTCATGCTCACACTGTCCCCCTACATTCACCCCACGCACCAGCCTGATCGGTCACTCGCGAATTCATCGCATAAAGACTGGCGAACCAGTGCCTGAAGCACCAACCCACACTCGCCGTATCCGCCTCCACTGTTTTCACTGCGCTCGCACATTTATTCACCGCATGGGTCTATTAGGCTACATGCGCGTCCATGAAAACCTGCGGTAGACAACTGTCGGCTACACCAAACCATCAGAATTTCACCCACCAGCACCCGCACCTCACAACATCACCACCCATCATAAGCACCTAATTGCCCATCACAAACATCCAACTACCACTTCCCACACAATTGGGAAGCGTGCTTCTCGGCTCCGTCTCCATGCGGCTCCTCTGCTGCATGCCTAACCCGAGTCTGAAACGAAGACGGTGCGTCAACCGCCGTGGCTCGGAAGACAGCCGACTGACGCCCAAACTCAGTCCATGCAGTCTGCCCAGTTGTGTGTGTTGTGTAGAGTGGTGGACTGGTGGGCTGAGAGCCAAGCGGTCACGGCCCCCTCTTAAACGATCTATGACACCCTCATGCATGCGAAGAGAGTGTTTGTGTTTGTGTGTGTACTTTATGGGTAGTGACTGTCAGTCGACGACTGTTTGGTTGCCTAGCCCTGAAGAGTGAGGGCCCAGGCTGGAGGCAGGACCGCGTTTCGCCCTTCTAGGTCAAAAGGTCTGAAAGCGTGTG